GCAGCAGTGCCCTCTGCTGCAGCAGCAGCAGCAGCAGCAGCAGGACACAAATCAGCAATTGATAAATAAAAAGGAAAACCCTTTCTGCTTCGGTCGTTTCGAATGTGCAGCGAAACTCTGCTGCTGCTGCTGCCGATGAAGATGTCAGCAGCAGCAGCAGCAGCAAACTCAGCCAGTGCTGCTGCTCCGGGGTGTCCCCGCAGCAGCTGCAGCAGTCGGCTGCCCAAGAACCTCTCCAGAGCTTCATCTTGCTGCTGCTGCTGACCCTGCTGCTGCTGCTCTCGCTGCTGCAGTTCTTGCTGCTGCTGCTGCTGTCCTTGCTGCTGCTCTTGCTGTTGCAGCAGTGCTGCCAGAGACTGCAGAGCAATTTCAACGTCAAAGAAGTACAGCTGGGGAGTTGCTGCTGCTGCTGCTGTTCCTGCTGCTGCTGTTCCTGCTGCTGCTGCTTCTGCTGCTGCTGCAAATGCTTCTGAGAGCTGCTGCCGCTCCTCAGGCGTTGCGTCTGTGCACACCAAAACCTGCAGCAGCAGCAGCAGCAGCAACAGCAGCAGCAGCAACAGCAGCAGCAAAGAAGCTGTTACTGGAGCCGCTCTTTCCCTCTATGGTGGGAGTAGACCCTAGGGATTCAATTCAGGGTTTAGGGTTTAGGGTTTAGGGTTTACTGCTGCAGCTCCAGCTCGCGAGGCAACCTGCAGCAGAACTTTTCCTGCTGCTGCAGTTTCTGCTGCTAAGCCCAGCCGCCGGAAGTCAGAGCGCCGCCAGTGCGCAGCCACAAATGCTGCTGCTGCTGTTGCTGTTCCTGCTGCTGCTGCTGTTCCTGCTGCTGCTGCTGTTCTTGCTGCTGCTGCTGTTTCTGCAACGGCGGACGGACTCTTTGCTGCTGCTGCAGCAGTTGCGGCTGCAGCTGCGGCTTCAGAGCCTCCGGCTCCAATGCTGCTGCTGCATTCTTGCGTACTTCTGCTGCAGCTGCTGCTGCTGCTGCTGCTGCTGCTGAGCATGTGGTGTATAAAGGCTTGGCCCACCGCCTCTATCTTGGGGTGTACGTACACCCCAAACCCTAAACCCCACGCTGCTGCTTCAGCAGCAAAGGGAGAAACAATCGAGTCTGCGTGCTGCACGCAAACCCTAAACCCTAAACCCTAAACCCTAGCCGCGTAAACCCTCGGCGCTGTTTCTGTAGCCTCAGACGCGGCCTCTGGTCTCCAGAGGCGGCCGCTAAACCCTAAACCCTCACGTTGCTCCCAAACCCTAAACCCTAAACCCTAAACCCTAAACCCTTGCCTTCAGGTAGACAGTCTCAGCAGCAGCAACAGCAGCAGCAGCAGCAGGAAGGCAGCGAGCAACTGTTGTTGAAGTCGGTAGAGAAGCCTCAATGCAAACCTGCAAAAACCCTCGAACCAAAACCCTAAACCCCAAACCCTAAGTCTAAACCCTAACCCCAAACCCTAAACCCTAAACCCTAAACCCTAGACAGCCAGACCTACCGATTTTTCGGCTTTCATCGGGTTGCAGTAGCCTCCAAGCCAAAAGAAATGTTGCTGCTGCTCCTGTTGCTGCAGCTGGTGTTGCTGCTGCTGCAGCTGCTGGTGCTGGTGCTGCTGCAGCTGCTGCTGCTGCTGCTGCTGCATGTACATCTTATAGGCGCTGCTCTGTTGCTCAGCGACAGCAGCAAAGACGGGGCAAGCAGCAGCAGCAGCAATAGTACAAGGCGTATCTCCTGCTGCTGCTGCTGCTGCTTCTGGCTTGTACTGTAAAACCATCACAGCGTCCACCTGCAGCAGCAGCAGCAGCAGCAGCAGAAAGCGGTTAGCGCGAAGCAGCAGTGCAGCAGGAGCAACAGCATCAAGATCAACAGCAGCAGCAGCAATAGCGGCAAAACGCCAGCTGCACCAGCAGCAGCAACAGCAGCAGAAGCGGCAGCTTCAAGAAAAGAAGCTGCAGCAATAGCAACAGCAGCAGCAAGAGCAGCAGCAGCAATAAAGTGGCATCAACTGCAGCAACAACAACAGCACCAGCAGCAGCAGCAGCTGCAGCAGCAGCAGCAGACCTGGTGCTTCTCATCTGCATGCAGTGCAGCAAAGTCGTCATATTCAATAACTGGCAGCAGCTGGTGCAGCTGCTGCAGCAGCAGCAGCTCCCCCCACCGAAGCCGCGAGGGCTTCTCTAGCTGCCAGTGCTGCAGCAGACACCAGGGCGGCAGCACCAGCACGTACACTTGCTGCTGCTGCTGCTGCTGCTGTAGAGTCTTCTGCTGCTGCTGCTGCTGCAATGCTTGCTGTTCTTGCTGCTGCTGCTGCTGCAGGTTCAAACGCTGGAGAGCCAGAGCGATGCGGACCACGACTTCCTTCTGTAGCTGCATCAGCAACAGCAGCAGCAGCAGCAACAGCAGCAGCAGCCGCAACGGCAGCAGCAGCAGCAGCA